GGCTAAACTACCCCAGGATTCACATGGAAGTGGTCCCCCTTGCTTTTGGTTCCCTTTGTGAGTGGGAGTATCGGATTCAGGGAGGCACCTCCACTCCTTCTGCTGCAGCTGACGTGGCGGCTTTTGATTGCTCAGCTTCTTTGCTTTCTTACTGTAGCAGAGGTAGCACCTCCACCTTCTCTGCTGTGGCTGACGTGGCGGCTTCCCATTGCTTCCTTTGACTGCTGTTGTACTACAGCAGGCTTTTTTCCTTTCTGCGCAACACTCATTCTTCTCTCTTCATTTTGTGGTTCCTTCTGATGGGCCTTAGGTGTCCTGAACAAAGCAAACTAACCCAATAGTCATATGAAAAAGATAATGTTAAATTTGCTCCAGGTCTACCTTAACTCCCACTTTCGGTATTGCTCTGGTCCACTATTCAAAACAGTTGCTCTATATGGAAAGAAGAAGGTTGAAGGGAGTGATTTATAACCAAAACATGGGTTTTATGGAACAATTTACACTTAATGGGCCTCAACTCTTGAGGACCATCAGTTACCTTCAAGGGAGAAGTGGCACCCCAGAAGAAGGCGACCTCCCCAGTTGAAGGAAGTCCTAGCGTGATGGGGAAAGAACACAGCCAGTGCTTCCTAGTAGATTTTGACGCTAGGGACGACCCTAGAGTGGAGCACGCCAGGCCCACGCCAGATGGAGCATTGGAATATGTGGTGTTGGGCGAGGCAGATCACAAGACGACAACAATCGGGGCGACCATCGACCCGGAGGTCAAAGGCAAGCTGATCCAGCTGTTAAAAGAGAATAAATATTTGTTCGCCTGGAAACCATCTGATATGCCAGGTATTGACCCAAACATATGCTGCCACCATTTGTCGGTGGATCCTAAAGCAAAACCAGTTTCACAAAAGAAGATAAAGTTTGGTTTCGATCGCCAGAAGGTCATCGATGAAGAGATCAAGAGACTCCATGACGCCGGGTTCATCAGGGAAATCAAGTACACAACTTGGTTGTCCAATCCAGTGTTAGTAAAGAAACCCAATGGTGCATGGAGAATGTGCGTTGACTACACTGACCTCAGGTTTCCAAATGTTGTCTTTTATAAATGCATATTCGGGCTATAACCAAATCCCGTTACTGGAGGAGGATCAAGAAAAAATGGCGTCCATCACCCAGAACGCCAACTATTGTTATACGATAATGCCCTTTAGATTGAAAAATGCAGGCGCCACATATCAAAGGATGATGAATGAAGTGTTCAGAGATCTGATCGGCAACTGCATAGAATTTTTCATTGATGACATGATCGCCAAATCCAAAACGCCAGACCAACACTTAGCAGACCTCCAAGGTGTCTTCGGGAGACTGAGAAAGTTTAACATGCTCCTCAACCCCAGCAAGTGCGCTTTTAAGGTTCCCGCGGGAAAGTTCCTAGGCTTCATGCTTACGGAGCGAGGCATAGAAGTGAACCCAGACAAGTGCAAGGCAGTCAATGAAATGGGAAGCCCGCAAACAATCAAAGAAGTTCAGCAACTGACCGGAAGGTTAGTAGCTCTCACCCGTTTTCTGGCAAACTCAGCACACAAATCTCTCCCCCTTTTTAGCTTGCTCAAAAAAGGGACCACCTTTCGGTGGTCAGAAGAATGTAAGAACGCCTTTCAAGAGTTCAAAAGTGCTCTCTCATGCCCGCCAGTACTTACCAAACCAGACCACAGAGAGATGTTGTATTTGTACCTCGCCGTTGGAACAGCGGCGGTCAGCGCAGCTCTCGTCAAAGAATCACAAGAAGGACAAAGGCCTGTCTATTTTATTAGCAAAGTTTTACAAGGCGCTGAGCTTCGGTACCAACAGGTTGAAAAGGTGGCATTAACACACATCTTTGCTGCAAGGCAGTTAAGGCCATATTTCCAGTGTCATCCAATCACTGTCAGAACAAATCAGCCAATCCACCAAATTTTACATAAGCCAGATCTAGCTGGAAGAATGATGTCCTGGGCGATAGAACTGTCGGAGTACCAGATCGCTTACTGTAACACCCCGTTCTAGAACCGGTTTGTTAACATCGCATTATGATATTAAGCGCAGTTACAATCACATGGGTTCAATTAAAATCCGGTTAATTTTTTTCATTTTAAAACATGCTGAATTTATAATGCCCAATTGCGTGATCATAACCATATTACATTGCAAAATAAAATGAATTAAGCTTAACATCATACTCTTATATCCTTAGACCAAAGGTTATTAAATGTGTTCTTCTAATCATTAGCTACGCGTGGCTTCGAACCGCGCCTCGTTTGGAGCACTGTAGCCCAAGTTATGACAATTTGAAGCAACACAAGAGGGTGTTGAACATAGGCCCCGCGCGCTACCGGGCGCTCAAGCGCGCGTTATCGGGCGCTAAAGCCTCCATCTGGGCGCTTAAGCGCACGAAGGCAGAGAGCATCAGGTCTTTCAGTGTAAATGGGTGCTCAAGCGCGCACCAGGGCGCTCAAGCGCGATATCCTGGGCGCTTAAGCCCCCATTTGAGACATTTTAGCGCGCAGAGGCAGAAGCATCTCCTCCTTCAGTGGCTAAGGGCGCTCAAGCGCGAACCAGGGCGCTCAAGCGCGCAACCCTGGGCGCTTAAGCCCCCACTTTGGGCGCTAAAGCCCGCGGAGACAGTAAGCATCCCATCTTTCCGTAGCGAAGGGCGCTTAAGCGCAAACCAGGGCGCTCCAGCGCGCAATCCTGGGCGCTTAAGCCCCCACTTTGGGCGCTCCAGCGCGAGGAGGCAGAGAGCATTAGCTCTCACAGGGGCAGCAGGGCGCTCGAGCGCGCTCCTGGGCGCTGGAGCGCGCTGCCAGAGAATTCTCCCTCTCTCATTTCTCAAGTCCAAAACTAGGGAAAAGGGCATCCCCATGGCAAGCCTCCATGGATTGAACCTCTCCTCATGGATTATACTAAAATTTGGGCAGCACAACCTTTGTTTTCTCAACATTCCCCAATTTAGCACTAGGTATATAATCAAGTTTTCCAGCTCAACAATCCAATACATAATGAGCATGCATATAATGAACTTAAGATAATCATCAATTACAAATCATGTTCATTACAATTCATGGAACTTAGCTTACAAAACACTATGATCACTCCCTTGGCTCTCATCAACAAAGAGATAACCAAAGGCATGAGCATAGGCTAAGTTCATTCCAAATAAACAGAACATACATCTATCAATTGTCTATTAATTACAATCCTATACATGTGTGCTACAAAACAACATGTATAATATCAAAATACAGGATCTTCATACATCACTACTAGTCCAAGTATGGCCACTTGCCACTGGTGGCTCCTGCAGCATCCTTACCTGAAAGGGGGTCCCCACAACACGGGGTGAGATATACGAATATATCCAGTAAACCAGGGGTCCTTGGAGCATCTCTCCACCCCACAGTTCCATATCAGTGTAATAGCAATAACAATAATAATGCAGTAAATACATATCTATGCAAAGTGCAATCACATCTCCAGGAGAAATCCCTCGAGCTCTCAAGCTGTCCTAAGGAAACTCAAATGCAAATAGTCCTACTGGCCAGCTAAACTACCATGTATGATTTACGCATCGTCATGCAACATACCAACATAGGGAACCACCATCCTATGCCACACCAAATGCATACACATACGTATAACAAAGCATTAAACTATTTCATTGCATTTATATACACACTCACAACCTCTACCCATTCAGGGCTTGGTGGAACAGTCAAGGGAATTACACCCAAGGTCCGAAGGCTTACCTCAAGCTTTAGTCAACCTTTGTTCCCACCAACCGGTTCCACAATCAATCAACTTTGGTTTCAAGCTATGGTTTACACAGCACACACCTAAATCCAGGTGTCATAGCATCAATCATGCAATTCAATGAATATCTACATATATTCATCATCAATACAACAATACCACACCACAATTGGCATGGACTTACCTATCTCAAAGAGCTAATCAAGCTCCATTGCTTGCTCCAATGGTTGATCACTTACGATTGGTCCAAATGCCTCAATCCTAGACATCATTAGGACACAATCATCAATCAACCAAACCAAACCATTTATCATTAATGCAAGAAAATCCAATATCAAGCATTAAATCTGGCCATTTTCAAAGTATAGTCATATAACTATCTAAGCTCATTTTCACCGATTAATCATCATTCCTAGCATTTCTCATAACATACACTATGCCCCAATCTACTAACATTATCACAAAACCCAAACACTATTCATTCAAAACCCTAAGTCAAGGAATTTCCAAGAGAGCAAGGTTCAAGGGTTAGAATCTTACCACCAATGGTCACACAACCAAGGATTGATGGCTCCTCAAGCTTCAATAGAGGTTGAAGCTCTCAAACACCTCAATTTCTCCAATGGGCCGAATTTTTGGAGGAGGATATCCCACTCCACAATGCTCCCCACTAAAAACTAAGCTTGGATTAAGGATGAGGGCGAGATTCTAAGTGATTTAGGCTTTTGAATCACCCAAAACGGTCAGGTTTCCTCCCTCCTCTCTCTCTTCTTCTCTCTTCATTTCTTCTTCTTCTTCTTCTGTTTGGTGGTCCGACGAGAAAATGGGGGGTTTTGGGTTCTTTTAGTTGTTTTATCACTTAACACATGTTAAGTGGAATCATGCGGGTATTGGTTTATCTATCTATTCAACTCCATTAATTACCAAACTTTACCCAAAAGTCTGGAATATTTTTCTAGGAATATTTCCACTTTTATTTTTATATTTTGGGTACTTTTGCCTACACCCATTTATACCCCTTAATTTTCACAGAGTACACTTTTAACTCCAAAGTGACTCAAATTCATTTAATTAAGCCTTATACTTAATTTTACTCACTAAAACATGCTTAATTATTTAATTACATGTAATTTGCTAATTAATTGGGTTAGGGCTATTATACCTACGAACCGAGAACTGCCATTAAGGCTCAAGCCTTGACAGACTTCATCGCCGAAATGACGCAAAGCCCTCCCCTTCAGAATCATGCAACAGAAACGCCTTCAGCTGGAATCTGGAAACTATATGTTGACGGCTTTTCAAACGCCAAAGGATCGGGCGCTAGAATGATAGTTGAAAACCCAAACGGCGTAGCGTTCGAACACTCTTTGTCTTTTGACTTCAACGCCACAAATAACCAAGCAGAATATGAGGCCATGATAGCCGGTCTGCTCCAAGCAAAAGAAATGGGCGCCAGACGTCTCAAAGTCTTCACTGACTCCCAGCTGGTAACTTTTCAAATCTCAGGCAAATACCAAACCAAAGGACCGTTAATGTGTAGGTACCTAGAAAAGGTCAAAGAATTGATTGGAAGTTTCGAAGCCGTTGAAGTGGAGCATATAAGGCGAGCTGAAAATACCCGGGCAGATATCCTCGCCAAATTGGCGAGCACCAAAAGCCCAGGAAACAACCGATCAGTAATCCGGCATAACATGCCAAGCCCATGCATTGTGATGAGTATTTCAAACCCGCCAGAGGAAGTCGCTGAAGAAACCTGGACACCGCCAATCATCAACTACTTGGCTGAAGGAGTTTTACCCCAAGATAAAAAAGAAGGTCAAAAGATAATACGGCGATGCACGCATTTCTGCCTAGTGAAAGGACAATTGTATAAACAGGGGCTCTCAACCCCACTCTTGAAATGTTTGGTCCCTAATGACGTTCAATACGTGATAGAAGAAATTCATGAAGGTATTAACGGCCACCATTTAGGTGGTCACTCACTGGTAAAGAAAGCATTAAGAGCAGGGTTTTACTGGCCAACCATAGAGCATGACGCCCACGAACACGTCAAGAAATGCAAAAAATGCCAAAGATTTGCTGATATACACAAAGCGCCACCGGAAGAGTTGACGTCACTCACATCACCATGGCCTTTCTACAAGTGGGGAATTGACATTCTAGGCCTTTTTCCCATGGCGGCTGGCCGAGTCCAATGGCTGATTGTCGCCATTGACTACTTTACCAAATGGGTAGAGGCAAAACCCTTGGCCACCATCACGTCTCAAAAAGCAAGAAGGTTCTTTTGGAGAAGCATCGTCTACCGATTCGGTATCCCGGGAGAGGTCATTACCGATAACGGCACTCAATTTACTGATACAAAGTTCCATGAACTAATGAGCAGTCTACAAATCCGACACCATTTTTTCGCCGTAGAACACCCTCAATACAACGGCTTAGTGGAGTCAGCCAACAAAATGTTGGGGAAAGGAATCAAGAAGAATTTGGAAGCACACAAAGGAGCATGGTTAGAGAACCTTGACAACGTCTTGTAGGGGTACAGGACTACCGCCCAGTCTTCCACCAGAGAAACGCCCTTCAGGTTGACCTATGGTGCCGAAGCCATGATCCTTGTGGAAGTAGGTGAACCCTCCTGGCGACGAGAGCACGTGACCGAGGTCACCAACAACCAACATTTGAAGGAAGCACTGGACTTGCTGGACGAAATCAGAGGATATGCCGCCCACAACGATCGCCAGTCAAAAGAAAGGTCAGCCACTTATTACAACAAGAAAGTCATTCTGCGAGTTTTTGAGGAAAAAGATCTGGTTCTCAGAAGAGCGGACGTTGGAAACAAGAATGCCCGAGAAGGAAAGCTCGTCCCAAACTGGGAAGGTCCCTACCGAATAGCAAACAAATTGGGAAAAAGAGCTTACTCGCTCGAGACACTGGATGGGAAGGCGTTCCCGAGGGCGTGGAATGCAGACAAGCTCAAGAAGTACTATAGTTAACTTGCCATGTAACATCGCCTGCACTCTTTTCCTTCCCTACGTTTTTGTCCCATTGGGTTTTACTGGGGAAGGTTTTTAATGAGGCAGGGTCCCACATTTTCAATAAAATGGAAGCCAACATTAGCCTTCTATATTCTGTGTCAAAATTAATCTAACGGGATGGTTCTCACCCCCGCCGCAGTTGGACTGGGATGGTCCTCACCCCAGACAACGCCCAACACACGGGATGGTTCTCACCCCCGCCACAGTTGGACTGGGATGGTCCTCACCCCCAGCCAACGCCCAACAAACGGGATGGACTGGGATGGTCCTCACCCCCAGCCAACGCCCAACAAACGGGATGGTTCTCACCCTCGCCGCAGTTGGACTGGGATGGTCCTCACCCCCAGCCAACGCCCAACAAACGGGATGGTTCTCACCCCCGCCGCGACTGTTGGACTGGGATGGTCCTCACCCCAGACAACGCCCAACAAACGGGATGGTTCTCACCCCCGCCACAGTTGGACTGGGATGGTCCTCACCCCCAGCCAACGCCCATTTAACTTACGAAAAGGAATATTAAAGAAGAAAGCCTAAAAGCAAGAAAGGAGAGGAAGTTCATTAGCAAATACAAATTACTTCATGTTCGTTGGGAGATCAAATAACAGTCCTCTGGTTGACATGCCAACCACTAAAAAAAAAAGAGGGGCCTAAGTTCAAGTCTATAAATTTGCCTTGACCGCCTCAACGCGTGGCGCATGATCAGTGACACCCTCCTCCAAAGCTTGAGCATCCACCGCCTGCTCCACCAGATCGACCAAGCAACATCACCACCAGTCACCACGCCAGGATCAACCACAGTCTCAATGACAGTCTTGGTGGGCACGCCGAGCTCAGTATCGCCCTCCTCGGGTCCATCCTCACTATCCGCATCAGAGGCTGGAAGCATTCCCCGCGCACCTTCATCATTGTCAGTCTCAGGCGCCTCTTCAATCATCCTGATGGTGTCACCATCAAGACGTTGAATAATCTTGCCGCCCTCGACCTCATAATCGGGAGAAAAGCCAGTCAGGTCGGCATCAGGATACCTAACAGAAACCTGCTTTAGGGCGTTGTCAAAAGAAAGGTACATCAGGTTAGCAAGAGCCTCCTCCAATTTCCCTACTTGCCCAGAGGACTTCTTAAAGTCCTTATCTTTGGCGTGAAGATCCCCTTGAACGGCAAACAAGTCGGCGGCCAGCTTATCCTTCTCAACCTGAAGAACCCCTTTCTCCTTTTTGGCGTCCTCCAACAACTTTTTAAGGCCATTTTTCTCATCAGACAGCTGCTTGACATCGCCATCTGACTTCTTCAGCCGCTCGGACAACGAATTAATGGAGTTTTTCTTGTCAGCAATCTCCTTGCCAAGACGCCCAACATCAGCAGTAAGACTTTCCACTTGTCGCCCAAACTCATCAAGGCGATTCTCCTACAAAGAGCACTGCTCGTCGATAGCAAGGGCGATCTCCTGCATCCCCAGGATACGGCCAACAACCACTTGGGTACAATCCATAATTTGCTTCTGATCCAGACGCGGAGGGGCCACCATCTTTGGACGACCAACGTTAGGAAATCCTCTAACAAGGTCCCTTTCTGACAAGGTTAGGGCCCTGCTAACAGGAATTGCAGCAGTAGGAGGGGAATCTTCAGTGCCAGAAGTCATACGAGCCTGGTCGCCCTGGGTTGAAGGGGGGTTGACCGCCTGGTCACTCCCGCAGGTACTACCTCCTAACTGTCCACCCGTTGAAGGTTCATGGCGTGCAAACTTCGAAGCTCGAGGCGGCGTTAAACTTGCGTCCGCACTTCGTTTCTGACCAGACGCCCCCAGGACAGGCAATCCAGATCCCAGAGTTGATTCGCTCGCTGAGGAGTTATCGGCCACGCCCGTAGGTTCTTTAATTATAGGACGATTGGCCCTCTTCCTCAGTTCTCCCACGGGAATGTCAGCAGCAGAACGAACTTTGGTCTTCTTGGTCATTGTTTGATGAGCTTTCCCCTTACCCGTATCCCTCAGAGCAGGGTTGGGCTGAACTTGAGAAGCATCACCCTGTTTGGCTTTCAGCCTCGCCGCCGCCTCGCGTGCAAGCTTTAGCATCTCCACCGCCATTGATCCGACTACAAAGATTTAAAGAAACATTAGTAAAGGCTGCATAGATAAGGAGGGCGTTAGAAGCAACAGAAAAGGTCACCACAAAAAATAAACACTCAGAATGCCACCACACCTCCATGGCACAATACTTGTTTCGTGGGCCACCGATCCAAAATCTCCTTTACCTCCACAAACCAGTCAACCACATTTACCTCCTCAGGAGTCAAACTCCCAAACATAGAAGAATACTGACCAGCGGGTGTCTCGTAATGGGCCTTAGTCCAATACAGGGGAAACCGGCACTCTCTGCTCGTCGGATCAATGAAGAAAGGAAGCTCTCCCTCGCCCAACGTGGGTTCAATCCAAAAAAAGGTGTGTTTCCAATTCTTGTACGAGTTGGCATACTGAGCAAATATCACTCCTACCGTGGTTCTCGCCTTTAACGACACCCATCCAAGTTTCTTCTTTGGGGGAGATACCTGGAAGCAATAAAAGAATAACCGAACAGAGTACCCCCATCCGAAGTACTGACATATGCTTTCAAAAACCCGAACGAACGCCCAAGCGTTTGGCTGCAATTGTGAAGGTGCAACCTGCAAGTGGGATAGCACTCCCATCTTAAACTCAGTGAGTGGAAACCTCACTTTCTGATCCGTAAAGTGAGTCCTGTAAACCATGAAACGCCACCGAGATTTCGCCGCATTGCTGGGCGCGTCACAAGCTCGACGTTCACTCGTAACGGCGAACGACTGCCACTTCGCCTCATGAGCACCATTTTCGGTAATCATGAAGCTAGGCTCAGATTTGTAGTGGCGACGCAAAGTATCCCGGTCAGCATAACTTGATGACGAAATAGCAATCTCCGGGTCAACCCAATCCCTCGCCTTGAGGCGATTTTCCGATTGAACAACCTCCATTAGTCAAGAAAGAATCCTACTTGGGAGTGATAAACACACAGTCAATTCTCAATACTTCACCAAAGCCAAGAAGACCACCGCGAAGAGAAAAGAGATGCCACCTCACCCTACCCCCCACCTCTGTAACCACCAATGCCCTCCTTACTAATTACTACAAGAAAAAATAACTCGGGCACAAACTACTTACCATCAGAATCAGAAGCTTCTAAAGAACTTGAAGAATAAAAATCTGAGTAGCTTAAAGAAGAAGGCCACCAAGCAGGCGGTATCTTATAAAGCCCCAGATCTTCGTATATGGCGTCCCACACACCATACTTCACGAGGCGTCCATCTTCAGGATGAAATCTACCTAACCGGTTCTCCGTGGACTCGTCATATTTACGGCAATGAAAAGATGAAGAAAGACTGGGTATATGACCCCGAGAGGTGCTCAAAGCAACAGGGGAGTCAATAGTCGGGCGGGAAGGCTTTATAATAATACTCTATGGGACGATTTTGTAGAAGAAGGTTAACAGAAGACAAAGGCCGAACAAGTCGCCCTACCCCAAGGGTAGAGCGCCGTGAAACATGGCGATAAAAACCCCTCTTTCGTTTATCGTACGAACTGAAGACCCTGAACCACGACGATGGGAAAGGCGAGCCCTAAATCCCTCACTGGGACCCCCAGATCGTCGCCCTCGAATGCTGGCTGGCTGACGCCTACCAGACACAGAAGCGCTCTCTCCCCCTGGCTCCAGGCGCTTACCACGCGGTCGAGAACCAGATGCTTCACCCAAGTAGGGAAGCACAGGCCCTAAAGCCCGTTCAGGCAAGAGACTCTGAATCTCATCTTCAGAGAAACCCAGAAGTTCTGGAATCTTACCATGGGGCAATGACTCCACCCCAGGGACCAAAGAACGGTAGGAGGGAAAGCTGTTGCTCCCTCCACGCTTAGCAAGATATTCCTGCATAACTGGCCCCACTGAACAGCCATCGAATGAGTCAAAAGCTTCATCAAACTCCTCCTCCTTAACCTCTACCCCCAACCCAGGAACATCCATGGCTTTTACCGTTCCCAGGAAAAGAAGAAGAAATGGTGTACAAAGAAGCACAAAGAATATCAAAGGAGAAAGAGTGAGACACTATACCTGAGAAGTTGTGCAAACAGTGAAGAAGCTTTAAGGTAAGGAAGAAGAAGCGCAGCGTAATAGAAGTAACAGTAGATCAATAATCAGCATGAAGAAGACCCCCAAGAGAGAGCAAGTCCCCCTTTTAAAGAAGAAAGGAGTGCAAGGTGGCACTCACACGAATTGCCCCTTGATATTCCGACCGTCAGATGCCGTAACCGTCATTAACGAGCGGTTGTGATGAGGGGCACGATAGTAATTTCAAGGTGATATGACACCAATCATGTCGCATTAATCAAAACAATACAACTGCTTGTAATGATGGAGAATCCATCATTACAACATGCACGAAAACCGAAGAGACACCCTTCGCGTCAGAAGGACGAAAGACCTGAAGTACCCCTGGAAGAATGA